AGAACTTGCTACTCATCCGTTGATGAGGATCGTGGCTTTATGGCTGCTGATGGACAAAATGAAGAAAATCAGTATGTACAGATTGTATTTGGGTCCTTGTTCCTGCTAATTTGCAACAATGTCTGCAAAAGAAATACAGCTCTGCCATTATGTAAATCAGCATCCAGTTAATATAAAAGATACCAGATGAAAAAGCAGTCTTGTAGTCACCTAAGGGTAAACTTAAAAAATGATCACTACATATTTATAATTTGCTTGATAATCTGAAAAAAAATAGTGATACTCAACCTTTTAGCTCTAGGGGCCAGGTAAGTGGGGTAGGGCAGATCCGTGGGCTGGATTGAGTCCCACACACCAAAATGAAGCCCTGGGGCCTGATACTGTCCCCTCCCATCCCCCCCCTACATACTAAGATTGCACCCGGGGGTCCAGCACTGTCCCTGCCCAGCCCTATGCACTGGGATTGGGTATCCAATCCAGTGTAGGGCCTGTGGCTTCCCATAAATCCAGAAATTGGGGTTGAGGGACTGGTGCCACTGCTCTCCTGCTGCCAAATTTCCAGACCCATTAGGAGCCCTATGAGCCATATGACACTGGGCCATGGGCTGGATTTGGCTTATGGGCCAGGGGTTGAGCACCCCTGGAATAAACAATAAAGTAGGATTTCGTGCAGTTGAGCAATCCTTTGAACACTGTAAATCTCTTTTTTTATTGTCTCTCATGCTGTGGACAAAACTTGACTTGAAGAACTTTCTCTCCATTTTTCATCCCTTTTTAATTTCTAGTATATCATTATATCTTATTTTTGCAAGTGTTAGAAGTAAGAAAAGATTTGGTACCTACCCCCGTGTGCTTGTAACTCAGTTTTAGATGCAAAATAACAAGGATCACTGTAGAGAGGAGGCAGAATGAGAAAAAGATATGATTTATGTCAAAATAATGCTCACTCATTTTAGCCATTACACAACACAATATTATATTTAACTGTATTTTAATGATGCCTAATTAAGTTCAACCTGTGTAGACAAAGCTGAAAAATTGAATTTAAGAAATCTGATTAAAGAGGGGTCAGTGAAAGCCGTTTGTTTTGTCCTGGTACAAAGATGCTATGTCACATGTTTGTGGACCTTTTGGGCATAAGTTTTCTTCAAGAAAAAATATTTTGCATTTGTGATTCGTAATAGTTGTAAAGATATCTTTTTTTCTTATCGTTTTAATCTTCTTGAGATAGTGCCACATCCTAAAATGTCTGGATAATCTAGTTTGTACATAAGAACATAAATGCTACTGGATCAGACCACTTCTCCAACAGTGGCGGAAGTGGATACCGTAGAGGGGGAGCACTGAACTGGATACATGTAGGATGATCTATCCCCAATTCATTACACTTCCTGGCATTTGCCCTCATTGGTTTAGAGATGCCTAAGGAGACATCTCCAGCTGTTCTGTTCAACAGCTGTCGTCCATGAAATTTGTCTAGTGCTATCCCTACTTCTAGTATTCTGAGGCATGGTGAACAAGTTCCCTGTTCACTTTGTTCACACCCTTCATGATTTCATACACCTCTAGCATATCTTCCCTCACTTAGTAACAAGAAGACTCTAGTTAGAAGACTTCACATTTCAGCACATTATGGATTTATAGAGAATTGTTTGCCTGTTCCTGTGGGATGAGGGCAGGTCATTTACCCAAAAGAACAATATATGGGAAATTGAGAATGGAAAGTAATTCCCTTTTATTGTGTTGTACGAAAGGGGAGAACCATGTGGATCACATGTCCCTAATACAGCAGTTGCAGTTTAGTCTAAAATGTATTAATACGTTTTTAAAAGATTTTTTTTCAGTAGAGTGAGAGGCATGATCTAGCAAGTCTTGATGTGTGCATGGATGCTTAGCAATATTTAAGATGAAAAATTAACTGAATTCCAATACTGACTTTTGTTTCAAGTGAAAAGCATGTTAGGGGATTTACTTTTGTCCAAAGGTTTGTATATCGCAGTACCTGCTTTGCACCCCCAAATAGCTAATTAAAACCTAGCCCAATTCAGTATATGGGCATATTCTAACTAATTGTCGATTCTTAAATCTGTGTGAAATCTATGCATCCATCTTTGTCTAACTCCCAGTAGACAGTATCCACATCACAAACATTACTATTAAAGATGGCACTTATTGGGAAGTTTTTTGGATGATGAGGGAAGAGCAGTTGTAAGCTGGTTAAATTTGCTCTCACAGATAGTTGTATGTAGTGTTGTATATGCAGTTTACCAAGAGGAACTCAAATCACACTTCCTCATTAGAATGAGATCTTATTCTACCTATTAGGTGCCTAAGTGTGATCCTATTCCACTGTGTTTGAGTCCCTGAAAATCCACTAGATTTAGACAGACTACAAAAGTGGGCAGATGAGAATAGGATGGGGTTCAACATAGACAAATGCAGGGTGCTGCACCTTGGGAGAAGGAATCCACAGCATTCATACAGGCTGGGGAGTTCCCTTCTTGAAAGCACAGAGGCGGAAAGGGATCTTGGAGTCATTATTGACTCCAAGATGAACATGAGCCACCAATGCCAGACCGCAGCC